ACTCTCAAGAGTCTTCTCCAACACCACAGTTCAAAAGCATCAATTTTTGGGCACTCAGCTTTCTTCACAGTCCAACTCTCACATCCATACATGACCACTGGAAAAACCATAGCCTTGACTAGACAGACCTTTGTTGGCAAAGTAATGTCTCTGCTTTTTAATATAATATCTAGGTTGGTCATAACTTTCCTTCTAAGGAGTAAGTGTCTTTTAATTTCATGGCTGCAATCACCATCTGAAGTGATTTTGGAGCCCCCAAAAATGAAGTCTGACACTGTTTCCACTGTCTCCCCATCTATTTCCCATGAGGTGATGGGACCAGATGCCATGATCTTAGTTTTCTGAATGTTAAGCTTTAAGCCAACTTTTTCACTCTGCTGTTTTACTTTCACCAAGAGGCTTTTTAGTTCCTCTTCACCTTCTGCCATAAGGGTGGTGTCATCTGCATATCTGAGGTTATTGATATTTCTCCCAGCAATCTTGATTCCAGCTTGTGCTTCTTCCAGCCCATGCTTCTTCCAGCCCAGCATTTCTCATGATGTACTCTGCATATAAGTTAAATAAGCAGGGTGAACATATACAGCCTTGATGTACTCCTTTTCCTATTTGGAACCAGTTTGTTGTTCCATGTCCAGTTCTAACTGTTGCTTCCTGACCTGCATACAGGTTTCTCAAGAGGCAGGTCAGGTGGTCTGGTATTCCCATCTCTTTCAGAATTTTCCACAGTTTATTGTGATCCACACAGTCAAAGGCTTTGGCTTTCAATAAAGTAGATATAAAAGTCAATAAAGTAGAAATAGATGTTTTTCTGGAACTCTCTTGCTTTTTTGATGATCCAGCAGATGTTGGCAATTTGATCTCTGGTTCCTCTGCCTTTTCTAAAACCAGCTTGAACATCTGGAAGTTCTTGGTTCACGTATTGCTGAAGCCTAGCTTGGAGAATTTTGAGCATTACTTTACTAGCGTGTGAGATGAGTGTAATTGTGTGGTAGTTTGAGCATTCTTTGGGATTGCCCTTCTTTGGGATTGGAATGAAAACTGACCTTTTCCAGTCCTGTGACCACTGCTGAGTTTTCAAAATTTACTGGCATATTGAGTGCAGCACTTGCACAGCATCATCTTTCAGGATTTGAAAAAGCTCAGCTGGAATTCCATCACCTCCACTAGCTTTGTTCGTAGTGATGCTTCCTAAGGCCCACCTGACTTCACATTCCGGGATGTCTGTCTCTAGGTGAGTGATCACACCATCGTGATTATCTGGGTCGTGAAGATCTTTTTTGTACAGTTCTTCTGTGTATTCTTGCCACCTCTTCTTAATATCTTCTGCTTCTGTTAGGTCCATACCATTTCTGTCCTTTATCGAGCCCATCTTTGCATGAAATGTTCCCTTGGTATCTCTAATTTCCTTGAAGAGATCTCTAGTCTTTCCCATTCTATTGTTTTCCTCTATTTCTTTGCATTGATCGCTGAGGAAGGCTTTCTTATCTCTCCTGGCTATTCTTTGGAACTCTGCATTCAAATGGGAATGTCTTTCCTTTTCTCCTTTGCTTTTTGCTTCTCTTCTTTTCACAGCTATTTGTAAGGCCTCCTCAGACAACCATTTTGCCTTTTTGCATATCTTTTCCATGGGGATGGTATTGATCCCTGTCTCCTGTACAATGTCACAAATCTCCGTCCATAGTTCATCAGGCTCTCTGTCTATCAGATCTAGCCCCTTAAATCTATTTCTCACTTCCAGTGTGTAGTCATAAGGGATTTGATTTAGGTCATACCTGAATGATCTAGTGGTTATCCCTACTTTCTTCAATTTACGTCTGAATTTGTCGATAAGGAGTTCATGATCTGAGCCACAGTCAGCTCCCAGTCTTGTTTCTGCTGATTGTATAGAGCTTCTCCATCTTTGGCTGCAAAGAATATAGTCAGTCTGATTTCAATGTTGACCATCTGGTAATGTCCATGTGTAGAGTCTTCTCTTACGTTGTTGGAAGAGGGTGTTTGCTATGACCAGTGTGTTCTCTTCGCAAAACTCTGTTAGCCTTTGCCCTGCTTCATTCCATACTCCAAGGCCAAATTTGCCTGGTATTTCAGGTGTTTCTTGACTTCCTACTTTTGCATTCCAGTCTCCTATAATGAAAAGGACATCTTTTTTTGGTGTTAGTTCTAAAAGGTCTTGTAGGTCTTCATAGAACCGTTCAATTTTTGCTTCTTCAGCATTACTGGTTGGGGCATAGGCTTGGATTACTGTGGTGTTGAATGGTTTGTCATGGAAACGAACAGAGATCATTGTGTCATTTTTGAGATTGCATCCAAGTACTGCATTTCGGACTCTCTTGTTGACCATGATGGCTACTCCATTTCTTCTAAGGGATTCCTGCCCACAGTAGTAGATATAATGATCATCTGAGTTAAATTCACCCATTCCAGTCCATTTTAGTTCACTGATTCCTAGAATGTCAACATTCACTCTTGCCGTCTCTTGTTTGACCACTTCCAATTTGCCTTGATTCATGGACCTAACATTCCAGGTGCCTATGCAATATTGCTCTTTAGTCGGTGTTAACTACAGGGATTTTAATCTGTTGCACCTGTCACTTCTAAGGCAGTTCCCTTTGTTTATTTGGCTTCTGTTTGCGGGTCTATTCAGTGTCTAGTTTCCGCCCTGACACAAGGTGGCAGAGGTAGTGTCTTGTTTAGGTTCACTTGTTCAGTGGTGCTGTGGGGCCATGGAGGGGCACAGCAGACAAATATCACTGGCGTGTGTGGGGAGCACTCGCAGTGTTCCTGCCATAATGGGTTTGCCCCCGCTCATGGCCCGTGTACTTTCCCCGTCTACACTGCTCAGGCTCCAGGCTGCTCTACAGGGAGCAGGCCCTGAGTTGCGTGCACTTCCCAGGCCTAAGCTGCTCAGGTTCAGGTTTTCAGGTACTTCACAAAGCTGCAGACTCGGTTGGGCCTGCATTTTGTGCCTTCCCGGCTCAGAGCAGCTCAGGGAACCAGGAGCTTGAGGAGCGCACTCTCCCCGGGTGCCGTGCACCTTATCCCCTCCGCGGTCCCAGCCTCAGTTTCTGGGCGTGCTGGTCGGGTGCGCCTTGTGTCTCTTCTGGGAAGCTGATTTCTGACTGCAACCCTCCCGGCAGATGTCAACCATCCAGAATCTCAGGAAGTCTTTGGTTAGAGACTGGAAGCCTGTTTGCAGTTTGGTAGGGGATGCCGTCTCTCCGCTGAGTTTGCCCCTTTCCCCTCCCCCCTGCCTCCGGCGGGAGATGGGCTGGTCTGCAGCTGGCTAGCTCTTCTCTGGAATTGCTCAGTCCTTTGTTCTGGGAACGGGCGGGTAATGCCTAAATTTAGGGCTTTTCCCAGGTTAATTCTCTCTCTCTCTTGCTATCCCACAGTTTAAGTTGCTGTCTCTGGTTAGTTCCCTCAGATTGCCCTCAGGGCTTTCAGGCCTGGTCCTTACCCTAAGCAATATTACCTGCTCCTCTCCATTCAGCCCCCCACTTGCTGGTGGCAGATGCGAGCGTATGGGATACTTTTCTGCTGGGAGTTGTTTTTAGGCATGTAATCTGTGGGTTTTATTTATTTTCCCTCCCAGTTAGGCTGCCCTCCAAGATTCGAAAACTTTCCCCAGACCTGCCAGTGAGAGGGTTTCCTGGTGTTTGGAAACTTCCTCTATTAAGACTCCCTTCCCAGGATGGATCTCCGTCCCTAACTCTATTGTCTTTCTTTTTATCTTTTATATTCTGTCCTACCTCCTTTCGAAGACAATAGGCTGCTTTTCTGGGCGCCTGATGTCCTCTGCTAGCCATCAGAAGTTGTTTTGTGGAGTTTGCTCAGCGTTCAAATGATCTCGATGAATTTTGGGGGGAGAAAGTGGTCTCCCCATCCTATTCCTCCGCCATCTTAGCTCCTTCTGCCTAATTTCCCCTTTCTGTTGGAGCCGAATACTGCCTGGTTATGTTTAATTGTTTTTGTATCATATTGGCAAAGTTGTTATTAAGTGTTCTGGAAATAAAAGGAATGAAAAAAATGCATTCATTTTTGTGACTTAAAAACTTTTCTTAAAGGTAGCAAAATTATTTTTAGTTTGGTTATTGAATGATAAAGTAATAAATATAAAATGCATTTATTCCTTTTTGTAGTTTTCTCTATTTGGTTTTACATTCCTTCCATAAGGAAAAGAAGATAGTGGCATTTCTTTTTCAAAAATAAGCAAAATGATAATGTTGATTCTTAATGTTCAAAATTCATACTGACTTTCTTGCTTCTTGGGAGTGTGGATGATGAGTGGAAGCATTCTAAATAGCAGGGTATATATAGAATTTACCTTATATTTAGAAGTTGAACATTTAAAATCTGGCACTTTTCTAACTACTCTCATTATTTTCTATCCCAGTTTATGTTTACAGTTTTCCACCTTTCCAGTTTATTGCTGATCTTAACCTGATGTAAATATCTTGCTGCTTTATTATGACTTGGTTGACTATCTTTAGATGGTTCGGTTAAATTGTACCCAGGGGCACTAAGGTTTGTTGTCTTAAGTGAAAGAAAGTGAAAGTGAAAGTCACTCAGTTGTGTCTGACTGTTTGCAACCCCATGGACTTAGTCCATGGGATTCTCCAGGCCAGAATACTGGAGTGGGTAGCCTTTCCCTTCACCAGAGGAGTTTCCCAACCCAGGGTCCAAACCCAGGTCTCCCACATTGCAGGTGGATTCTTTACCAGATGAGCCACAAGGGAAGCCCAAGAATACTGGAGTGGGTAGCCTGTCCCTTCTGCAGAACTTCCTGACCCAGAAATCGAACCAGGGTCTCCTGCATCTCAGGCAGATTCTTTACCTACTGAGCTATGAGGGAACCCCTTGTTTGTTTTAGGTGACCCTTTGTGTATAAACTAATTACTAATTCTTCCCTGAAGAGCAGACACTATAGCAGTTTGAATGTGAATTCATGTGTTGGGTGGAATCTTTGTGAACCATGCTGACTTTCCCTCCTGCCGTTTCAGCTCCTTATGAAGCTAGACAGCCCCTTGTCCAGCCTGAGGGACCCTCATCGGGAGGCCCAGGAGCTAAACCCCCTCGGCATCAGGTTTCCCTTATCCGGGTAAGTGATGCCTCTGTCAGGTTATGCCAGTGGGAGACTTCGGGGGTGTGACTTTTTGAAGCCCCTTTTAAGGAGGATATAAAGCTATCCCTTAATGCAGATATTATGTTTCTTGTTCTGTTGCTTGTATATTTTCTAAATCCTTTTACTCTGTCTGTTTCTTCCCTTCTCTGTGTCTCTAGACTACTCTGGCCTGGTTTTTGATTTTTGGTCTAAAATGCCCTTTCACCTTCATCTGCTTAATCATTAGGCACCTCCTTCAGGAGGCCTTTACTTTGTCTAAAACAGACTGTTTTTATCTCTGCCTTATTCTTTACTATTACATATTCAGTGCATACTTTGCTATTGCCCATTTGTTTTATGCCTCCAGTTAAATTACCAGCTTTGGAAGGCAGAGGTGATTCTCCTGTATTTTCTATCAGTGCCTAGTCCACTGCTATTTGGAGAACAGTTACTTGGCAGCAACTAAAGTTTCCTATTTGTAGTTGATACAAAAGAAATATGGTAGAAGCACAAGTGATATCTCAGTTTCTCCTTGTTACACCACAACTTAGAAAATTTTACTTTCCTTTTCTCAACTGTGTCCTTTGGATAAAGAGCTGTTTTTTCACCCTATGTCTGCAGCTGTTATGTTGTGTAGTACCTCTGAGTCCTATGCTGGTGGAGTCATATTCCCAAAAAAGGGTGAGTGCATCAGTGTGAGAGAATCCGTGGGAAAACAGTTGGCTGTTTGACTCTAAAGACAGGAAGAAGTAGAGTGGTTTGTATAACATTTCAATTGTCTAACTGAGGAAGAAACATCATTTATGCAGAGGGAGATCTCCTCACAATAGAGGGTGATCTCAGATAGTCCCATAATGAAGTGGGCTGGTATTCTAGAAGAGAATAAACAAGGCTGAGGGAGGTTGAGGTGTCCACTTTATAGCCTCTGGAGATTGGTAGGCATGATATGGTAGGCATGATATGGAATTTCTGAGGTAGAACTCTTGTGTACAAAGAATTTTATTAAAGATGGTAGAAAATTAGCTTTATGCTGTGTATTTGTGTGTAATGCTTCCTCCAACTATCATATCCAACTACAGATGAGGTAACTGACTGGGAGAGGTCAGGTCATGGGTCTAAAGTTTCATTTATAACTAGTAAGTGGCAGAGCCAGAATTTGAACCAGGCTTGCCCAGTGTCAAAACCTGTTCTTTGAAATACTTCACTATATTCGTTAGAGTGCCATGTTACAAGGAGACTAGGTTCTAGAGTTGCTGTATAAACAAACATTGGATGTAGTAAAAAATATTCCTGAAAATCCCTTATTGGTACCACATTGGGGAGCCAAGATGCCATTCTCTCCTAAGTCCAGTAGAGCTAGTTTTACCCCTAAGTTGGAACAGACAGTTGTTTCTTCAGCTGAGCCCCCAGATGGAGTAGTTGGCTGCACTTGGAGGTCCTGTTGTACAGAAATAAGTGTTTTTAAACGTGAGAATCACACCCACTGTGGACTGATAGTTACATTAAGAAAGGTATCAGAGGGACTGGGATTCATCTAAAAAAATTTGCAAGGTGTGGCTGTCCTTGTTTCTGCAGAGTCTAGTGCTGATTCTAGTGCTATGGAGACCACATCCTGAACTGTTAGAATGATGGTCAAACAAGCAGTAAATCCTGAACTTTGCTGTGGTCGGATGGGGCTCACCAGGCCCTTTCTGTGTAGCCACCTGGCAGCTGATAGCTTTGGGTTCTCATTTAGATTGGTGTCCCAGGCCTTCTCTTCTAATCTCTAGGCCCATTTTTCTGCTGGTAAACAAACATGCTTCCTGAGCATTTTAAAAAACTTGTTTTTGTTCAGTTTCTAAGTCATGTCTGAATCTTTGTGACCTTATAAACTGCAGTGTGCCAGACTTCCCTGTCCTTCACTGTCTCCCAAAGTTTGCTCAGACTCATGTCCATTGAGTCAGTGATACCATCCAACCATCTTATCCTCTGTTGTCCCCTTCTCCTCCTGCCCTCAATCTTTCTGAACATTAGAGTTGTTTCCAGTGAGTTGGCTCTATGCATCAGGTGGCCAAAGTATTGGAGTTTCAGCACCAGTCCTTCCAATGAATATTCAGGACTGATTTCCTTTAGGATTGACTGGTTTGATCTCCTTGCTCTCCAAGGGACTCTCAAGAGTCTTCTCCAGCACCACAGTTTGAAAGCATCAATTCTTTGGTGCTTAGCCTTCTTTATGGTCCAACTCTCGCATCCATACATGGTTACTGGAAAAACCATAGCTTTGACTATATGGACCTTTGTCAGCAAAGTGACAAAAATGTCTGCTTTTTAATACACTGTGTAGGTTTGTCATAGATTTCCTTCTAAGCGTCTTTTAATTTCATGGCTGCAGTCACTGTCTGCAGTGATTTTGGAGCCCAGGAAAATAAAATCTGCCACTGTTTCCATTGTTTCCCCCTCTATTTACTGTGAAGTGATGAGACTGGATGCCATGATCTTCATTTTTTGAATGTTGAGTTTTAAGCCATTTTTTCACTTTCCTCTTTCACCTTCATCAAGAGGCTCTTTAGTTCCTCTTCGCTCTCTGTCATTAGGGTGGTATCATCTGCATAGTTGAGGTTGTTGATGTTTCTCCCAGCAATCTTGATTCCAGCTTGTGATTCATCCAGACTAGCATTTCCCATGATGTACTATGCATATACATTAAATAAGCAGGGTGATAATATACAGCCTTGATATACTCCTTTAATAATCTGGAACCAGTCTCTTGTCCCATGTCCGGTTCTAACTGTTGCTTCTTGACCTGCATACAGAGTTCTCAGGAGGCAGGTCACGTGGTCTGGCATTCCCATCTCTTTAAGAATTTTTCACAGTTTGTTGTGATCCACACAGTCAAAGGCTTTAGCATAGTCAATGAAGCAGAAGTAGATGTTTTTCTGAAATTCTCTTGCTTTTTCTATGCTCCATTGGATGTTGGCAATTTGATCTTTGATTCCTCTGCCTTTTCTAAATCCAGCTTTTACATCTGGAAGTGCTTGGTACACGTACTGTTAAAGCCTAGCTTGAAGGATTTTGAGCACTACCTTGCTAGTGTGTGAGATGAGTGCAGTTGTATGGTAGTTTTAACATTCTTTGGCATTGCCCTTCTTTGGGATTAGAATGAAAACTGACCTTTTCCAGTCCTGTGGCCACTGCTGGGTTTTCCAAATTTGCTGGCATATTGAGTGCAGCACTTTCACAGCATCGTCTTTTAGGATTTGAAATAGCTCAGCTGGAATTCCATCACCTCCACTAACTTTGTTCATAGTAATGCTTCCTAAGGCCCACTTGACTTCGCATTCCCAATTGTCTGGCTCTAGGTGAGTGATCACACCATCGTGGTTATCTGGATCATTAAGACCTTTTTTGTACAGTTCTTCTGTGTATTCTTGCCACCTATTCTTAATCTCTTGTGCTTCTGTTAGGTCCTTGCCCTTTCCTTCCCTTATTGTGTCCTTCTTTGCATGAAATATTCCCTTGATATGTCTGATTTTCTTGAATAGATCTCTAGTCTTTCCCATTCTATTATTTTCCTCTATTTCTTGAGCACTTTAAGCAACTAATGTTTACTAAACACCTGTTAAGTGCCAGGTACCATGTTGAGAATACAAAAATGAGATATAACACTCCCAGTCCCTGCCCTCCTGGAGCTTATAGACTATTGGAGGAGGTGGCTATTGATCAGACCATCACAAAGCAAATATATAATTATGATATGTGGTGAGTAGAAATTATACTGTGCTTTGAGGATGAAAAATGGAGATGGGAAGTTAGGACCCAGCCTTAGCAGGCAGGGGGTGATAAAAGAAGTCTTCCAGTGGGAAATCACATTTAAGTTGAAAGGGGAAGGGCTGATCCTTATTGTCCAGGTGAGGGAGTGGGGCTGGAGGAGAGCAGGCAAGAGGAGAGAGGGAGCTACACAAACAGAGATGTTTTCTATGAGCTTTGCATTTTATTCACCTCTCTTGCTGTGCTTAGAACTATCTCTTAAGGTAATTTCCATCATTATCCCATTTTTCAGATGACAGAACCCGAGGTATAAAGACTTCATTTAGTTTGCTTAAGGTCACAGCTTGGAAGTAGTTGGGCTCGAGTTCAAACACTGGACACCACTCTCTTGTCTTTGTCTCAGGAAGCGGATGGATGGTGATGTCATCTGTTAAGCTGAGAAGCCCTGAATGAAAAACCAGTGTTGGGAGTATTGAGGCAAGATCATGAGATCAGTGTTGAGATTTGAGCTTTTGAGACAGCCAAAAGGTAGTGTCAAGGAGATGGTAGGATATATGTGGTCAGAGCCTGGGGACAGTTGGGACTGAATAGAAGTATTTGGCAGCCATTGGCCATTAGGAGGACTTATGGGATCATGTACAGAAGTCAGACAGGTTCTCACCCAGGTCTAGCCATACGCTGCATGACCTTAAGCAAGTTCCTTCTCTTTTGTGTAACATGAATTAGTTGGAATGGATTTAATAGTCCATTGTAATTCTCTGCAACTGTCTGATTCCCTTAATGTTTGATGTCAGTGGAGGTCCCTCCTCCTGTTTGGAGCATTGCCTTTGGTTTAAGATGAGAACAAGGGGCCTTTTTTGGGATGGCAGTCTGTGGTTTTCATGGCTGATGTGTTTTTCTTCAGTTCTTAGGTTTCCTTCTTATGCCTGTCAACTTGGTTTGGCTGGACTGCACATCACAGAAAGCAGATGCCAACCAGAATTAGCCATGTAGATGAGAGGATGTGACGTGAAGGATTTTGGTGGTAGGCAATTAATAGGTATTGGTCATGGTGCTAGACTGTGCCAGAGTCACTCATTCCCCACATTGCTATGCCCATGACAGCCTCACTCTCTTGTAGCTTCCTCTGTGGCCTCGTATTTAAGTCTTTCCTGTCTTCGTTGGAAGGGACATGGCCTCTGGGAACTGGGGAAGGCTTTTAGAGACTCTGGGTCGGCACTGTTGCAGCTTGTGGGCTTGGCATTTCAGAG